CGTCTGGAATTTCATGCTGTGGGAATAACATCTCAGATTTATGTGGTCTCCTGTTCACAGGGGCCAAACTCTATAGCTCTTATCAGGTAAGAAAAGGGGGATAGATTGTACCCCCACTCCCCCGGGGAGAACATGAGCCTTACAGAGAGGAAGGATTCTTCAAGGTGAGAGGTTGATTATGGTGGATTATGGGGTTAGGGGCCATCCTCCAAACAACCCTTGAGTTCTATGTGCTAGTCCAGGACTCTGGAGGTAATACCTCTCTTGTGACCGTCTTTGAGGGCTCCAGGTTTAGGCCTGGAGAATTCTATATCCTTGTACTGTTTTACAGGATCAGAGAGCATCTAGTCCCAACCTCTTCATTTTATATATGGGGAAACTGAGGCCTTCAGGGGAGAAGGGTCACCGCTTCAAGGTTGAGCTGAGACTGGAATCTGAGACTCTTGACTCCAGTGATGATCTAGAAATCATCCCTTGAAGAATTAATATGCAAAAGGACTGACTGACAGAGAGGCATCCCACTGTCTTCCATCTATTATGGGGGCTTCCTTTTCTTCCCTCATGTTAGAACAGATTTTTAGCCTTCTGATGACCTCCTCTCCAGGCGAGGGAGGAGAGCTCTAGCTAGCAACTTTGGAGACACCCAAGACAAATACAAAATCAACTTTTTAAGACAAATTCATTAAAGTCTGTGTGTGGGTGAGGGTGGAGAGTGTCCAAGGAGGCAAGACTGTATGGGGAAGAGATACCAAAACACTAGGGTGAAAGGGTTATGAGTGCCCTCTAAATTTTGATAGTCTGGGACAAAACCCAGGTGGCCCCATCCTAGATACAACTTTTCTAGGGGATCTATGCCTGGAGGGTTTTCTGACTTAGAGTCCCTGGTCTGACTAGCTGGGAGGTGGCCTGGATCCAGGCCTGTGTGTGACTGGAGAACTTGGTGCACATCTGACCTGTCCCCTATCCCTATTTCCCACTATCCTCTGACATATTGGGGCAAGGGCATAAACCCATGATCTATGAAAACCGATCACATCACTTCTCTACTCTAACTTTTAGAAATTTCCACTGTTGACTGAAAAGTATCAACTCCTGATCTTGGCATTCATGGCCTTACAGAATCGGGCTCCTGTTCTAGCCTTATCTCATACTGTTGTCCCTTTGTATATATTGAGCTCTAGCCTGACTAGACCATTCTATGTCTCTGTTCTCACCTTGCCATCATGTGCCTCTGCACACTAAATTATTTGCCTGGAATGGACTCCGCTCTCCCCAAATCTCTTTCTGTTCAAGACCCTGTCTTCTGTGAAGACCCAGGTTAGGTGTTCTCTTTCCTCCCACCCTCAATTTCCCAGAATGCTTTGCCTGGACCTTTGCTTTGTATCTATCCCAGTCTTCAATTCAACTCAATTCAACAAGTATTTATTAGCTGTGGTATAGTTAACAGAGAGTTGCCTTGGAGTCCGGAAGACCTGGATTCAGGTCCTTCCTCTGACAAAGAGATCGATTTCATCTTTGCTCCCTTCTCTCCTCTGATACTGCCACCCTCTACTGTAGGTTCTTGTCACCTCATGCCTGGACTATTACAATAGATGCTGGTGGGTCAGCCTGCCTCAGGTCTCTCCCTACTCCAATCCATCCTCCATTCAGCCCCAAAGTGATTTTTCCTAAAACTCAGGTCTGCTCACGTCACTCCTCTACTCAGTAATGTCCAATGGCTCCTTAGTACCTCCAGGATCAAATACGAGATCCTCTGTTGGGCATTCCAAACCCTTCCTAACCTAGCACCCTCCTACTTTTCCAGTCATCTTATACCTTACTCACCCAGCCACTGAGTCCAGTGACTTTAGTCTCCTTGCTATGCCTTGACCAAGGCACTCCCTCTCTCTCTGGGAATTTTCTCTGGCTGTCGCCCGTGCCTGGAATGCTCTGCCCTTACTCATCTCTACCTACTGGCTTCCTTTTAGTCTCAACTAAAATCTTCTACCCAGAGGTGTCAAACAGAGAGGCCAATAGGCCCATGACACTCTTGAGGAACCAGATTAAAATGTAATGGGGGGAGGGGAGAAAAGGAGGGAAGGATAGAATTTGGAGCTCAAAACTTAAAAAAAAAGTTTAAAATTGTTTTAACATGTAATTAGGGAAAAAATTAGAATACTGAAAATGTAATTGGGAAATAACAAAGTAGCAAAAATACAATAGGACATAATGTTAACATGTGGTTTTCTAAGTCAACCTAGGAATCTGTTATGTATGGTTCAGTGGCCCCCCAGTTTCTATTTGAGTTTGACACTACTGTTCTAGAGGAAGCCTTCCCCAGCCCCTCTTAATTCTAGTGCCTTTTTTTCTGAATTGTTTCCTTTTTATACTGAATATAGCTTGTTTGTATATATATTCTTGCCAGTTGACTCCCCCGTTAGATTACGAGCTCCTTCAGGGCCTCTTTTTGTATTTCCAGTGCAAAGTGCCTGGCATACAGTAAAATCTTTATTGACCAACACTATGACTGTCACCCTTCGGAAGTCACCGATACCTCAGGTAGTTAAGACTCTAAGTGGCGGAGCAGCTGCTGATCCTCATCGACAGGGGGCGTCTTTCCCTAGGAACTCCCCAAATTGATGAAATTGCTTGTCAGATTAGAAAAAAAAAGTTTCAGGCACTGAGGCAATAAAGACAAAAAAAAACCAAGACAGTCCCTGTCCTCGTGGAGCTTCCATTCTGCAGAGAAAACACATCCTATCATGTGCACAGATAAATGTATACAAAGTAATTTGTTGGGATGGAGGACTAAAGGGTGTTCGGCATTTGGCGTTCTCCCTTGTCACTCCTCCATCACTGAATGACATCTTGACTTTCAAGTGAATTGGATTGAAGTGAGGCAGAGTTTTGCAGTCATTTGCAGTCACTCTTTTTCCAGGGTCGTGGAAGTCCACTGGCAAGACAAAAGTCAGGATGACTGGTGATGGCCCAGGATACAGCGGATGACCTTGGCTTCTCTGATGTCTGACCAAGCTCTAAGCTCTTCACAGGGCCTGCTGCAGTCACTTCCATGGCCCATTAGAACAAATTGTTTTCATCTGCCCATTCCACTGGGGCAAGTCTTCAAATGCTTGGAGTAGACATCCTGCTAACTCACCAACCAGTTTGGGGCCATCAGTTAGACAGATGGTTTACTGAGATGCGGCCGTGCGTGCTGCAGCCTCTCAGAGACATGGTTAACAGTTGGGTGAAGGTGGACACCAAAGCGGGATGAGCAGCCCTGCAAAGGTCTTGGCAGCCTTTACACTAGAGGTGCTACACCTCCCTGAACACCCCCTACATCAGTGTTAGAGTGGCTAGGTGGCACAGTGGATAGAGCACTGGGTTAGGAATCAGGGGGAAAACAGCCCCTGCCCTCAAGAAGCTCACCATCTAACAATGCCTTTCTTTGTATCCCCAGCCCTTATCATAGTGCCCTGCACGTAGCAGGCACTTAATAAATGCTTTGACTTCAGACAACATACAAACTATGTACAAATAAAATATAGACAGAATAAATTGGAGGTAATCCCAGAGGTAGGAACTTAGCCTTATCGAGGGTGAAGTAATGATTAATCAGCTTGGATAGAGGCAAGTGGGAATCAGATTATGAAGGGCTTTAAATGCCAAAGCAGTTTGAGTCATATCCTAGACTTCTTCATTATGCCCCAGAAGATCACTTAAGTCCCGGAGCTAACCTTCTGCCCTGGGGACCTCTCTCTCTGGGTGGAGATTGGAGGGTGAAGAGCACCGCCCAGAACCTCCATTTAAGGAGGGTGCCTCATTTCTCACCAGGGGTGCACTCTTCTGGATTTGTCCCCACCCCATTCCTTCCTTGTTCATCATATGTATGTGTGTGTGTGTGTTCTCTCCATTAGTGTGTAAGCTTCCTGAAGGCAGGTGTCGTCTATCTTTTTGTTAGTGTTTGTATTTCCAGGGTTTAGAATTGTGCCCCGCACATTGAAAGCAGAATAAATGAATTAATGCTTGTAGACTCATTGGCCACTGAAACTTCCCGAGCACTGGTACGGCACCATCAGATCTGTTTTCCACCTATTAGATTTTAAATTCTTGGAGGGCAGTTAATTACATCTATGAACCCTTTCCACTCCTCAGCCCTCCCCCACTCCCGCCAGCCTTGAACAAATAAAAACTTAATAAAAGTTCATTGAATTGAAATGAATGGAATGGAATGGGCACAGGTGGTCACTCGGAGTTGTCCCGAAGGGCAGGAGGTCCACCTGGGTCACAAGTTCTCGGAGGTAGCCCAGAGGCGTGTGTTTGACAGCCCACTTTCTCGCCACGTGGGGACCTCTGCAGGACTTCTCCAAGCTGGTAACCCCTCCTTCGCAGCCCGCGCGGCCCCGCCCTAGGTGTGCTCGAGCCAGAACCCGGGACCGAGTCAATGACTCAACTTTCCAGCTCCCACCTAGCCCTCGTCAGAAGCCGGGAGGAGGGACTGAGGCAAAACCAACTGCAAGCAGAGGGGTACCAAGAGAAAGTTCCTAGGCTCAGCTCATTCCTTCGCTTCCTATGCACCTCTTCCTAGAACCTTAGCCAAGAGACCATCGCCTAAAATGCTTTTAAAGAGCATCTGTCCTGTCAGAAGTGATGTTTTCTTACTTTAATTTAGGAAGTTGACTTGCTAGTACCCTGCTTTTAACTTTACTTGCTCTTCTCCCTCCTGTTTACTCCATTTGCGGAAGTCTTTCGGGTGGAGCTCCCGGGGCAGTGCCTGCGGAGTACGTCTTTTGCGTATCAGTTTGACAGGCGCTCCATGAAGGCCAATGAAAGAGCTGGAAGCTCCGAGGGGCGGGGCTAGGAACCAATCAGCTCTGGTGTCGGGGTGGGGCTACGTCTCAGGGAGGGGAGCGCGTAATGGCGGACACGGATCTGGCGAGCGCGGCCGGGGGCGTAGCGAGCTGAAGGAGGAACGCCGGCGGGAGTGGCGGCAGCTGCCGGGGGGCAAGACGACCCTGCGGACCGCGGCAGCGGGCAGAGAGGGGCGGCCGGGCCTGCCGCTGCGGGCTTCTTGCGAGGCCAGGTGAGCAACAAGTCCCGCTGCCCCGGGAGAGGGCGGCTCCTGGCGGGGCCGGGCCTGGCCGTGTCGGAGCCGGCGTCCGACGGGTCCGAGCGGGGAGGCACTGGGCAGGCGTAGGGGGCAGGATCAGGGCCGCCGCCACAGGGAGCCTGCAGGGGTCTTGGACTGTTCCATAGGAGAGTGAGCCCTGGGGGACTGAGCAGGGGTCCCAGGGCTGCCTCTTAGGGAAGTGAGCAGGGGTCCCAGGGTTGTCCCACAGGGAAGTGAGCAGGGGTCCCAGAGCTGTCCCTTAGGGAAGTGAGCAGGGGTCCCAGGGTTGTCCCACAGGGAAGTGAGCAGAGGTCCCAGGGTTGTCCCACAGGGAAGTGAGCAGGAGTCCCAGGGCTGCCCCACAGGGGAGTGAGCAGGGGTCCCAGGGCTGCCCCACAGGGGGTGAGCAGGGGGTCCCAGGCCGCCCTGTAAGGGAGTGAGTACAGTCTTAGGCTGTTCTGTAGGAGAGTGAGCAGGGGGTCCCAGTCTGACCTATAGGGGTGTGAGCAGGGGTTTCGTATTGTCCCTAGGGGAGTGAGCAGGGGGTCTCAGGCTGTTCTGTGGGGGAGTGAGCAGGGATCCCAGGGTTATTCCATAGGAAGTGAGCTTTGGTGGACTGATCAGGGAGCCCTATGGCTGTCCCATAAGGAAGTGAGCAGGAGGTCCTCAAGCCACCCCATGGTGGAGTGAGCAAGGGTCTCAGGCAGTTCCTAGGGCAATGAGCAGGGGGTTCTGGGCTGCCCTGTAGAGTAGTGAACAGAGGTCCCAGGCAGTTCCAAAGGGCAGTGAGCAGGGGGTCAGGCTTTCCCATGGGGAAGTAAGCAGGGGGTCCCAGGGCTGCCCTGTGGGGGAGTGAGCCATGAAAGAATGAGCAAGGGATTCTTGGGCCACTCCATGGGGAAGTGAACAAAAAGTCCCAGGTAGCCGCATGGTAGAGTTAGCCTCTTTTTGGAAATGTGCTGGTGGGTATCAGGGCTGCCCCATAGGAGAGTGAGCAGGGAGGAATAGATCTTCCCTAGGGAAAGATAGAGGTGGGTACCAGGTCTGTTCCTTAGGGGAATTAGAAGGGTGGTGGTGGGGAGCCCACCTGGACTTCCTTAAGTGTAAAAGGAGTGCTCAGACTGCCTCAAAGACCAACATAAGCTTTGGAAAGTACTAGGTCTCTACAGTCAGATGAAGGTGGGTACAGGCCTGTCCCATAGTTAGGTGGAAGTAGGTACTAGGGCCATCCCATGGGGAATGAGAAGAAATATACTAAGGCAGACACATAGGTAAGCATGAAGGAAGAGTGCTACCATGGTTGCCTCAGAGACTGACATAGGCTGTCCTATAGATAGGTGGGAGTTCCTAAGGCCACCCCATACGGAAGTGGAGAGGGCTTATCAAGGATGCTCCACAGACTGGTGGGGATAGAGGAGTTACCTGAGCCATCCCATAAAAATGTGGGCGTGGGAATACTACAGCTATTCCATAGGGAAGTGGGTAGTATATATTTTGGAGAAGGCTACAGGGACCATGCAGAGACATGGGGGAGGGGAAGAACTTGGATTGTCCCATAGTCAGGTGAATGGGGGGAGTACCAAGGCTTTCCTACAGGTGAGAATGGGAGTGGTAGAATATACCAGGGATTGCCCATGGGGAAATGAGCTAAGGTGGTGGCACTGTAAAGACTGTCTCCTAGGGAGGTGGTCGTGGGAAATACAAGGAGCAGTCTGTAAGAGAGGTAAGGGGGGGGAGTGATGATAAGGCCAATTCCCTAAGGAAATGAGAATGGGGTAAGGGCTAAAAGGGCTGCTCCAAAGGGAGATGTAAGATAATGGGGGAGGCAGTACCAGCGCTAGCCAAAGAAAGTGTATGTGGGGAAATCTAAGCCTGCCCCATTTTCATGTGTGTGTGTGTGCGCACGTGCGCCAAGGCTGCCACTAGGCAAGGGAAAAGGGGAGAATAGAGGCTACCAAGAAGGGCCCATGGTAACTTGTATCTGGGAGTGTCCAATGCTTTCACATGAGGAGGTGAGAGTAGGGTAGGGGTGGGGCTACAAGAGTTGCCCTTAAGAGAGATGTGGGGAGTACCAGGACCTGGCTCGTAGATAGTTATGTGGAGGAACATATGGAGGGGTGCTCCATAAGTAATTCCTAAGGCATCTTGCAGACAGAGAGGATGGGGGAGGTGGAACAAATAAGGACTGCCCCCTTGAGTGGTGGGGAATTGGGGTATGGGGAATTGCCAGGGCCACCCTATAGAGAGGAGTGGGTGAGGGGTTGCAATGGTTGCCCCATAGGGAAGTAAGAGTTGATGGGGGAAGGCCTACAAAATGTTAAAGATGTGGGATTGGGTGGGACGGTGTCAGAACCTGTGTTATGGAGAGGTAGGACAGGGGCTTATCAGGGCTGCCCTAAAGAGAGATGAGTGTGTGAATGTTTCATGGCTGGTCCACAGGGAGGTGAGACGAAGACTGTGGATGCTTCCGAGGTCTTTCCACAAAGATGTGGCTGGGGCATTTATTGAGTTAACCCAAAGCAAGTAAGGGCAAGTACTGCTCCAAGTGTGATGGGGCTGTGGGACAATGCTGCGGCCCTCTCTCTCTTGTAGACAATGGGATTGGGACATAGCAGGGACAGCAGGGCTACCTCACAGGCGGGTAGCTGGGATTGGGGTATGGTTCGGCCTGTCTCATGCATGAAGGTCTAGGATGATAAGACTTGCCAAAGCAGGAGGAACCACTCTACATACTGTACTGTCAGTTAGCCAAGACTACCCATAGGAGTAATGAAGGGACCTAAGGGGGAAGCCACCACCTTCCGTGCAGATGTAAGCCTTGGAGACACACTTGGATCAGTTGGGCTCTGGGCGTCGCCACCAAGAAATCCTAAAGCGTGATGGTCAAGGATTGCCTTAGAGGGAATCATGGAGGAGAGGCATTCTGAAGACTCTTGAAGGATGCGATTGGGCTTACCCAAGACTTAAAGTAAAATGCTGTGTGTTTTCTGTTTGGTTTTATTCAGCAAACATTTATTAAGTGTTTCCCATATGCAAGGCTTTGGGGGACACAATGAAATAACACGTGTAGTGCTGTAAGTTTACCAAATGCTTGCTATTTTGATGACTCTGTGATCTCATCAGTGTGGGTACTTCCTCAGATAGTGTCCCATGCCTTATCATTCTGTGTGAGTGTGGCCCTGCCCTCCCATCAGTCTTCTACTGGGGCTTCCTTGTCATTTCATAGATCCTGGGGGATCCCGGGGAATGACTCCATCTGGTATTCTTCCATGAGTACTTTATAAAGTCAGTTCTCTCCTTTAGTGCTTAAATGCAACCCCAGAAAGTAGGTAGTGTTGCTGTTTACCCCATTTGTGGCTGAGGAGTAGGCTCAAATAAAAGTTACTACCCAAGGTCATGCAGTTAGTAAATGTTAGTGATCAGATTCTAACTTATACCTTCTCATTCCAAATCCATTATTCTTTTTACTACACTTCACTGCCTCTAAGATTTTCACTATTTCACTCGGTTTCATATCCATTTTCTCATGGGAAGATATTGGCTTAGTGAAGTTAAGGAGACGGTTTTTGTCTAAGGAAAAGCATTAGGGAGAGTTACCTCTTTATAGGACCAAGTCAGAAGATTTTGAGGGCCTGAGGAGGGCATGTTCCCTGGTGCTTGGGCCTGTCCCTGACACATATTCAGGCACGCAGAGCTACTAGGCAGCCATTTGGTGGTTACGGGCTGGGGAAGTTTGGGAGGACAGGGTTCTGGCTTTTGGGGGTAGATCCCATCATTTAGTCCCTCTAGTAGCTACTGAACAACCTATTGACTTGTAATGAATACCAGCTCACAGCTCCTCAGTTCTAGAGGCTGCAGCCTCAGCCATGGTTAGGGTAGTTGCCATTAGGAAAGAGTTATTCCAACAATAGAAGTGAAGGCTTCCTGCCTTATAGTTTCCTATTCTCTCTCCCCATGGCTGCATTTCACTGGAGTTGGGTCCCAACGAAACTCCATGTTTGGACAAAGTTTGGAGATATTGGGATGAAAGCTTGTCTATAAGCCAGGGCATTTCTTTGTGCTCTGTTATATGACCTCCAAAAGGTTGAGCACCTTCTCAGGAGTCAGTTTGGCTTCATAAACTGCAATTCTCCTTCTCTAGATCTCCGAGGCTTTGATTAAGCCTGGCCACAGGACAGATAGGTTGGACTGGCCTGGGGAGGGTTCTCCTGTCACTTTGGGGTGGGAGGAGCCTTTTTGGAGAAGCTGTGAGAAGGGAACTGCTGAGAAAGGGAGTGTCTTTAAACAGTAGAGCTACCACATTTTTCTTTGTTTGAAAAACCAGAAAAAGAAGCTGATAGCTAAAGGAGGAAGGAAAACATGTGAAACTTATTCCTGTTTAAATGTCTTCTGAGTTGTCCCTGTCAGAGGCTGCTGTCATGGAAAAAGTCAATTGTAATTTGTTCAGTGGAAATTATATTACAAGATCAAATAAATTTTTTTTTCCTAAGCCCCACAAGACAATTAAAAAAACAATTCAGAACGTTTCACTGTACAGGTGATTCATCAGTAAGATAACTCTTTCTCTTGACATAATTACCAAGTCAGTCTTGTAGTATATTTTAACTATAATTCTAGTTAGTGGTTTCAACTTCAGAGGAATTAATCTTGATCTAAATACAGGATAGGGCAAAAGGCACTTTACAGTTGAACAACACCATAACGTGTTCAATTTATGTCTGTTGTCAAAAGAAATTGCTTATTTTATATTTTATGTTATGTGGTGACTTTTGGTAAGCGAAAGAATTGCTCAGCGTGCGTTTGCCTGTTTGTATTGGAGAAAAGCTAATCTGAATTCTCAGGAGCAGAACCCGAAGATCCCTAGATTTTTTTAGAATTTTAGAGTTGATTTGCAAATAAAATGGGTCTTTAGTTATATCATTACTGCTGTAGTTCTGTGTGTGGAATTTGTTTTAAAAGGTTGCTTCTGGTGA